CCCCCCGCCCTTGACAATCCCCTGCCCTCCCTTACCCCCCAGTGTCTTATGTCCATTAGTTATGCTTATATGCATGCATACAAGTCCTTCGGTTGATCTCTTACTCCCCTCCCTTCTGCCCCCCAACCCTCTCTGGCCTTCCCACTGCAGTTTGACAATCAGTTTGAGGCAGCTCTGCCTCTGTATCTATTATTGTTCAAAAGTTTGTAATACCATGGAATACTCTTACCCTTTGAGGTAGCATGGAGGGACTTGGAGAGTATCAGGCCAGGCCTGACGTTCCAGCTGAGCGTACAAACTGGAGCCCTTGAGTTTTTGGACTATCTGCCAGGGGTCCTCAAACTACGGCCCGCGGGCCACATGCGGCCTGCTGAAAACATTTATCCAGCCCGCCGTGTTTTTGCCACTGCTGCCTGTCCAGCTTAGCAGCCGACTCATCCCGGGCCGCAGTGCGCATGTGTGGAATGTCTGAGGGACAGTGAACTGGCCCCCTGTTTAAAAAGTTTGAGGACCTATTATTCTGAGCGATACTGAGAGACAGATCCGACTCCTCCTGCCACATTTCCCCTGCCCTAGCCCGCCAGGCAGCGGAGACAGGCCGCCGGCTCGGAGACAACGGGCTATGGGGTCCCACTCAAGGCTAGTGACACTTCTCCGGGACCTTTTTACGCTGGGACGCCTCAGCGGGCGTTACCAGGCAACCACTCGGCGTGTGTCCGTTCCTCTCTGGCGCCCCTCCGCCCCTCTATATATCTATTTCTTATCTATATTTTATCTATATCTATCTATATGTATATCTATCTATCTATCTATATCTATATATATCTATATATGGAATATTAGCCATAAAATAGAATAAAATCTTGTCATTTGTAACAACATGGATGTACCTGGAGGGTTTTATGCTAAGTGAAAGAAGTCAGGCAGAGGAAGATAAATACCATATGATTTCACTTACTTGTGGAATCTAAAAACAAAACAAAACAAACAAAGCAAAACAGAAACAGACTCATAGATCCAGAGAACAAAGTAATGGCTGCCAGAGGGGTTAGGGGTGAGGCTGGATGAAAAGGTGAGAAGAAATAAGAAGTGCAAACTTCCAATTATAAAAGAAACAAGTCACCAGGATGTAATGTACAACATAGGAGAGGGAATATAGTCAATAATATCATAATACCTTTGGACAGTGACAGATGATTATTAGACTTATCATGATTATCACTTTAGCAAGGTATGTAAATATTGAATTATGTCGTGAAACTAAAAATATATATTTATAGTACTATATTATACAAAATATAATATTTTATTTCAACTATAATAATAAAAAGGAGTAGTCGCAAATATAATAAAAATGCATACAATTTATATAAAAGATTACTTTAAAGATGATACTGAGGGAAAACACACAAATGACTTGAATAAAGGGAAAGCGTATCAGTTCCTGGATAGATAGGAAAATGTAACATCACCAAAATTTCAATCTTCCCTAAGTTAATCTATCTATTTAACATGATCTTTTAATATATTAAATTTTCAAGGGCAGGGAGTTGCCAGATTCAGAATCACAATATAATGCTAAAGTAACTAGCAAAGGGGGGGAGGGGGGGAGAGTCATGAAGAAGCAACCTAACCTACTAGGAATTCTAAATTATAAAGTTATAATGATGAAAATTGTATAGAACACAAATACATAGATCAATGGAACAGATTATATATATATTAATTGATTTAAGAGAGGAAGGAGGAGGGAAAGAGAGATAGACACATCAATGATGAGAGAGAATCATTGATTGGCTGTCTCCTGCATGCCCCTCACAAGGGATCAAACCTGCAACTCAGGCATGTGCCCTGACTGGGAATCAATCAGTGAGCCATGCCAGCTGGGTTCCAATTATATTCTTGAAACAGAATAGAATGGAATTGTTTTTTTAAAATGAGGCAGTTTTACTAGTATAGGTACTGATATGGGACACTAACCAAGAAATATATATATATGTTTTTTAAAACAGGTTTGTTTTTTAATTTTTTTGGTATGTCTTTATTGATTTTTAAAGAAAGAGGAAGGGAGAGGGAGAGAAAGAAACATTGATCAATCACCTCCCATATGCACCCCAACCAGGGATTGAACCTGCAACCCAGGTATGTGCCCTGACCAGGAATCAAACCCATGACCTTTCAGTATATGGGACGAGGCTCCAACCAACTGAGCCACACCATCTGGGGGCCCAAAAATATTTTAAACAAGAAAAGCAAGGTGGTAGAAATATATATAGTAGCTATCATTTGTTGAAAAAATATAGATGCTTGTATGTGCACAGGTCATCTGAAAGAATAAGTATGAGTCTGGTAGTAATTGCCTCTGGAGAGGAGAATTGAGTAGGTGACGTATAGGTAGAAAGGGAACTCATTTTCACTGTATTCCCTTTTGTATCTTTTAAATTTGTACCATATGTTATACATTATCTATCCAAAATTAATTAAATAATTTCTTTTCAGAGCTGTGTTACAAGCTCAGGAGTTCAGGACTTGGTTAACTATGTTTGCAGAATGCACATTTATTTGAAC